CTCCTAAAAATCACCGGGATGCTCAAGAGAATGGCAGGAACCGATTCCGTAAAATTCCCATTTTTTTGCTTTAGCCAAGCGCTCCAAGAGGCAACTTTCTGCCAAGACATGCTTTTCATCAGAGGTGTGACCACACAAAACCTGCTTTTCCAAGCAGGAATGGTTATTTGCCCACCCTTTCTCATCGGCTGATGCCACAGAAATATCCCGTGGGGAAAAGAGCAGGATGGAACTCCTCTGCCCCAAACCGCAGTTCGTTTGTCCTTCCTGCCTTGGGTGATACCTCCAAACCTGGGACTTTCCTCAGTGCTTTATTAAGGTTTGGTTCTAAAATAGAACAAAATCTCTCTGCACCCTTTGCACGTTCCTAGGTGTCCCAAGAGAATCCCGTTTTTCCACTGGTGTCTGTGACATTCCCAGTGTGTTTTGCACCTGGAGGAGCGATGGGAAGTTGAGGGAGAGGGAAAATCCATGTGTGGGAGGCAGTGAAATCCTAACAAGCAGTGGGGTGTTAATATGGGGAACATTCCCTCTTCCCTGTGAGCCTGAATTCCCAAATCCAGCAGCAGCAGCAGAGAGGGAACCAGCTGATAAATATTTACAATGCGATTTCTAGATAATGTAAAAATGCAAATCCTTGCTCTTGAGCAGCGTGGATGGAAACATAATTAAAGATGAGGGAGACAAATCCAATGGAGATGAAAAGGCCTTAATTAGAAATCAAATATTTGATGGGCTGGGGAGACACATTAACGCTGATGTGGCTGTCAGATAACACTTGGAATGAAGAGAACATGGAAAAAAATTAAAAAAATGTTGTTTTCAATCCTCCCCATCAGTTTTGGATAATCTTGGTTCCAAATGTGAGCAGGGAATTCAAAGTGCTGTGGCCTAACATGGAATTTGTCTTTTAATTGTTTTTTTAATGGAAAAATAGTTGTTGAGTTTGTGTTTATTTGTGTCCATGATCATCCCCAGTGATTATCCAAGTGTAAATCCCTTACAAATATTATCCCAGGGGATTTGAACCACTGGGATACAAAAGGACCCCCTTGATCCTTTCCGCTGGTGGGAGCAGAACACCAATAATTTCTTCTTTTTTATGTTGTGTGCATTGAAGGTTGGGTATTGATGTGATTATTGATGTCAATTTGAGTCCTTGTGGATTAGCAGCAGCAAAATCAATCCAGAAATGCCCTTGGTTGATGATAAAACCACTGATAAGACATTTCTGATGATGTTTTTGGGGGAATATTTGGTTGCTTGCGACACCTGAGAACAGTTTTTGAGTTCTGGAGTGGGTTTAGCTCTGGGAAGTTTCACAGTGAGATGGATCTGGTGGGTATTGATGAGAGGTCTCAAAAACAGTTTTATTTATGTCCCACTTTGGGAAATTTGGCTGAATCCTTTATAAATCCTTTTTGAGCTCATTCTATCTACAATATCTCATTTATTCCCACAGCAGGGAATTTCCACTGCCTGCCTTTTACAAAGCCAGGCCCCAAAATGAAAATATTAATGAAGACTTTAATGCTTAATTAAGCAGGGGGGTGCAGAGCAGATTTGCAGCATCACAGAAAGTTCCTGGGGGGTTTCTCTCCAGCCCTGTGACAGCACAAGGAAAATTCAGGATTTCCTTTGTCTGAGGAGCACCCAGAGGGCAGGGACAGGTGGGATATTGGGAGGGATTTTTTCCTTGGGGGGTTGGGGCGGGCTGGGATGGGATTCCCAGAGCAGCTGGGGGTGCCCCTGGATCCCTGGCAGTGCCCCAGGCCAGGCTGGGCAGGGTTTGGAGCACCTGGGGCAGTGGGAGGTGTGGGACTGGATGGCCTTTGAGGTCCCTTCCAACCCACACGATTCCATGATTCTCTCCTCTGTGACCAGCGAGCTTCGCTGTTGGCATTTGCAACCTTTGGGAATGTTGAGAGTGGCCTGATTTCTTTAGGCTGGAAAAGATCCCACCTTTTCCTGCTCTTGAGGATGCACAGCTAAAATATCCTAAAACATGGAGAGCTTCCAGTGAGACCCTCTGGGATCACAGCTTTGGGTGTTGGTGGTTTGAGAGCTGGGCACGGATGAGGAGAGGACGCGGAGGACACAATTAATTCCGAATTCCTAGGAATTATTATCTGGCAAATCCAAAATTATGAGGCCTTTTGTTGTCACCCTTCCCAAGCCCTGCCCAGGACAGAGATCAAAGAGCTCAATCCAGAGCCAAACGCTGGAGCAGTGCAGGAAAAGGGAATGGATTTGGAGTGGGAAGGAAAAGGTGGGAATGATGGTGTGTCTCCAACATGGAATTATTTGAGACGGGGAGATTTCCAACCACACGTTTCCCACAAGGAATTATCTTCACTGGCTGGAATAAATTCTATTTTCATGAGACCAAAAAAGAGGGGGAAATGTAAGAAATTGAAGTAATGGCCAATAAAGTCATGATTAGACCAGGAGGAATTAGATGTATAAAATATATTTAATAGAAACTTACTGGGGTGGAGGGAAAATCCAATGGATATTGCCCCAGCCTGAGCCATTATATTATTTTAGTGGCTCTATCACCACTGAAATGTGGCAGTAGCACTTTAATAGGGTCTATTACAGAACATTGGATCCTCCCAAATATATCCAGGTTATCTCCTTCCAAAGGGCAGAGTATCGATTTCTGCTCGTAAAATGAATTTTCAGAGTAAATACACCGGAAAAGTACATTTTTGTGGGAATAAATACGACTTGAGCTATTTTACTGCTTGGAATTTAGGCAAATAATAATCATTATTCTGGTTTTGGGGAGATTCTAACTCCATTATTTGAGGCAATTTTCCACCTTCTTAGGGTCAGCTAAAGGCCATTAGGAAGGCATAAACTACATTTTAGAGAAGCATTTAAGGAAAAAGTCGTATTTTCTTTGGGAATGTTTTCAAGGGAGTTAAAATGTCACACTGGAGGTAAAAAAAGCCATTTTAATTTTAGCAAAGAACCCGAAGTGAGCAGCAGGGAGGTGTCCTGGTGGTGGTGATTCGTGTCCCACCTGCTCTGCCCATTCTGGAGCTGAGCCCAACCACAGGTGATGCTTTTGGAGGAAGGTTGGGCAGCTTTGCTCCTCGACAAACACCTCCCTAAATCCAGTTTTAATGGGCTTTCCCACATTGGAGCTATTCAGGATTTCAACAAAACCTGGTTAAATCCTGTGTTAATGGAGAGTCCCGTGCTGGAGTTATTCAGGTCTCCAGATTTTCTCCCAGCCCCATCTCATACCAATAATTTTTGGCAAAGCCACCCTTCAGCAACGGTCTTTAAGAGATCTAAGCCCAGCAGTGGACTTTGGGGTTTATTCTGGATTATTCATTACTTCCATTATTTGTTTGATTGCATCACTTGGTTCTCCCTTTTTTAACTTCTGCTGCTCTCTCTCCCCTTCCTTTAAAGTGTCAACCTTTATGGATGCCAAAACTCCCCAAAGCTCCTCTGTCCTACACCTGTGACAGTGAATTTTGGAGGGTTTCCCATTTCCCAGGCTCTTCTCTCCAGTAAGATTTTGTTTAGCAGTGCCAGGATCACCTCAGACCCCACTTGTGTCCTTCTCCCTTGGACTGTGCTTTAAACTTTCCTTCACTGGTGACTTCTGAAATTTTGACCTTCTTTTGCCCTTCTTTGCTGCCATCGAATGGAATATTTTTCCTCCTGTTGGGCAGGGCAGGAAAATGCTGGGAGCTGAGCAGTTCCCACCTGGGGACCCAGGGCCAGAGGTGAACTTTGGAATATTCCTGTGCTTTGTTGCATTGGACATTTTCCTGCTGTTCTGATAACGCGTTCCCCACACCCCGTGTACACCAGCCCTTCATTATTTGACCATTTAGGAGCTCTTGTTTTTCCAACTAAACCCTTGTTTCCAGTTGCTAATTAAAGCGTTGCTTTAATTGCATTAATTCCTGTCACTCCAAGCCTGGAAAACGCTGCTCCAATCACATCAGGGCCAGGCTTTGGCTTTTCCAAGGTATTTAAAATTCCATCTCTGTTCCAATAAACCTCAGCCAGTGGATTATTTCTCATGGACAGACAGTCCATCCTTCTCCTGGGGGTTTTATGGACAGAGTGTATAAAATGATAACACAATGAATGGGCCACTTGCCATCCTCTATCAGCTGCTTAAATCAGCTGCTCCAGACAGGAATTCAATACAGGAGAAGCTGTTCCAAATGGATTTTTCAGGTACAAGGCATAACAAGGAATTTCAGGAGTATTCTTGATCCATTGGCACCGAGATAGCTTTAAAGACATTTATGGGCCTTCAATAAAGATGCTTTCAAACCATCTTCAGAATAATAAAATTGCTTTGGTGCTCTGAGGAGTTCAGAAGAAAATCAAATTATTGTTAGATTTGATTATGTCAGTGTCCAGAAATCCCAGATATTGGATAAAATCTGCTGAGAAGCAAAAGGAGAATCTCATCCAGGGAGGGAAAGGAAGAGAAGGTTTTGCATGCAGGAATTTAATATTCCCCTCTAATTTTATTTTTATGTAAATTATGTAAATTAGATGAAGATGTCATAATATTTCCCGTGCTGAATTCATGCTATTTATGAACACTGCAGTGCCTGTTTCTCCTTCTCCTGTAAAAACCTGCTGTGCTTCCCAGAATGCCAGGGATTTATCTCGTCTCCCGTGTTTAATTTTGCAAAATTGGGATGCAAACTTAAATATGAAATCTTGAAGCCAAATTTCAGGAACAGATTTCCTACCTCGAAGGAAATGGAAGGGAAATATGGAGGTGCCGTGGAGAATTCAGTATTTTTAATCCAGAGGTGTGTTTTTTGGGATGTAGAGAAATGAAAATAGGCTGCCCAGGCAAGAGGTGGATTCATGGAGTCACCATCCCTGGAAGTGTTCCAAAAATGTGTGGATGTGGCACTTGAGGACGTTATTTAGTGGTGAATGTGGGTTGATGGTTGGACTTGATCTTGGGAGTCTTTTCCATCGTTAAGGACTCTGTGATTCCACGAAATTCTGGCCTTGGTGTCCCTCCTAAGACTGGGAATCCTGCTGTGGCTTCCTGCCCACTTGGGGCCCATTTTGATGTTTTTCTTCCTGACAGCCAAATATTTCCTGGATTTCCTTCCAAAATCATTCTAAATTCACATTGTGGGGTGGGGTTCCATGGGTGGCTGTAGGGCAGGGCTGGACCTTTGTCTGTCCCTTCCCATTTTTGGGGGAAAAAAGCCCCAAACCATTGATTGAGCCCTAAATCTCCTCTAGGACAACACTGAGGCTCAGAGGAGCTTGGACCTTGCAACTACAAATCCCAGTCTGGCTTTTCCATGTCCCAGTTCCCATTCCATGCCTTTAATTCCATGTCTTTAATTCCTTGTTAAATCCTTCTGCAGGAACTCCTTCATTCCCTTTGAATGGAACAGATCCTCTGCTGCTCCTTGTCCCAAAAGAAAGGGAATTGGACAACTCTGTGCCTGGATTGTGACCTTTCCCTAAGGATTCTTGCTCCCTCTTGGAGAAATCTTTGGGAGGGCACTGATTCCCTGCACATCTGAGCCTGACTCTCACATCATCCCCAAACCCTCGATGCTGTAAAAATATCCCAGTGTTCCTTAACTCGTTTTCCAGGAGGTGTTTAATGATCCAGAAAATTAAGAATATTCACATTTTTTTCCCCAGCAAGGAGATATTTTAATTCCAAATGTTCCCACTTAATTTCCCTCAGAGCATAAACTCAGACCTTCCGTGGCAATGTCCTTTCAGCTGTCCTTGTTTTGGGGATTTATCTTCTCCGTGCTTTCATTTTAAACCCTGCTCTTTGACACAGGAAAAGAATTATTTCATTTATTAAAGGCTGTGCCCACCATGAGATAATCATGGCAAAGAAATGAGAGGCTGTCACTGACTCCTCTCTCCATGAAAAAGGAATTGCAGAGCTCCTGGTTGTCAATGGATGCATTTTCCAGCAGCACTGAAGGGCTTTATTTGGCTTTTTACAGCACCACTGTCCTTTGTTTCCAGCCTTTGCCACACAGTGGAGCTTTGTCTGCTGGAAGGGTTGATGCCAATGGTGGAAAAGGTCCTAAAACCTCATGGAATTTCTTTTGGGATACATGAACCTCAGTAAATGTTTTATTGCAGCAATAGGATCATAAAGAGAGGGAAGGTTGGAGAAGAGCCTTGCTTAGAGTGTGACAGAACAAATAAGGCTGGGCCAGGTTTAATCCGGGTAAATCTGGGTTTACTCCCAAACTGGGCCATTTCCAAGAGGGTTTTTTTTTTAATGTGTAAGTATAAACTTTAATTAAATCAATTTTTTTAAGAAGTTGAATTAAAAGTCATATTTATCATAACCTGATGTTGGGGTTTTCTCATTTAATTAGGGCTGAACAGGAACTTGAGTATGAGATTGGTTGATGGTGTGTTTTCTTTTCAACAGTTCATTTAATAAATAAAAAATATATATTTATATACATGTATATTTATATATATAAATATTTTTTTTTTTTTATTTTATATCTTCTCCAGTCGTAGAGCAGCCAAACCAGTGGGACTGGGCTGTGTTTGTACCTCCAACACAGGTTTGGCTGCAGGGCTGGACATTCTAGATTGAACCATGTCAGAAAGTTGGATGTCTAAAAGTGAACTCCCAATGCCTTGGATTTTTTGCTCCTCCTGTGTTTTCCTAGAATTCCAGGATGATTTGGGTGGGAAGGGACCTTAAATCCCATCCCATGGGCAGGGACACCTTCCACTCTCCCAGGGTTCTCCAAGTCCTGTCCAGGCTGGCCTTGGACACTCCCAGGGATGGGGAAGGTGTCCCAATAATTTGTTCATTTCCTTGGTGAAATCAGTGCTGGAGATCAATTGAATTCCTGTGGAATTTCACTTAAAACACAGAAATTACCTGAGCTTTTGGGAATTCACCTTGATGTAAATGGGAAATGCAGCTGTATCCTAATATAAATATTTCCATACATGAAGTAATTTATAATTGCATGATGCAGATGTTTTCCTGTTCCATAAATCTGGACGGACCTGTGCACAACACAAATATCCAGCATCCATCTGGTATCCATCTGCATCCCACCTCCTGGATCCCTTGGCACAGGGATGCTGTGGCATCAGTCCCTAAATTAGTCTCCCCATAATTTGGGGATTTATCAGAGCAGCCTGACTTTTCCCACTGATAACTCAACTTCCTCCCCTTCAGCACCTCTGTTAAATGGTGGGAAAGCTTTGCTTGGTCATTAGGATGAAGAATCCAGGATTGGAAATTGTTGCTTATTAAATATTAAAAAAAAAAAAAAAAAAAGAGCTGGGTTTTTAAATGTAGCTGGTTTGGGAGATCAGCAGATGGAGAAGGAGCAGAGAACCTCTCCTGATCACAGCCGAGATGCCTGGAAAAATGTTTCCACAGTGACACTAAAATCTTAATAACCTGTCAAAGGCTCTGCTCAGGAGAGCTTTGGGATGAAAAATAGCTCCAAGATTTCCAGCTGAACAATGCTGGGTTCATTAAGCATCCATCAAAACATGAAGTGAAAGTTAATTTACTCCAAGTCTTGCTCCTGAGCAGAGCCAGGGCCTACTTTTTAATTTTCCAGGAGAAAATTGGGCATTTCAGCCATGACTTTCTGAGAGCCCAAATTTGTGAGGAGCAAAATTTCCGTGGGGAAAGACTGGGAGAGATCAAGTACTTGAAGGTGCTGCTAAATTTCAAATAATTGTTACCTCAACACAAGAACTGTGAAGAAATTAAATGAGTAAAACTAGAACCTAATTAACCTGACAGATTAATTATACCCTCAGGGAAATTTGGACAATCAGATCAGGAAAATCTGAATTGGTTTTGGACAATCTGAAATTTAAAT